TGGCTTGTGGGGGGGAAGTGGCCATAGCTGCGGGCATCAAGCTTTGCTCCTCGAGGGCTCATGACTGCAAAGGCAAAGTCAGTCAGCTTGATACTCAATGTGGTTTTTGCCAAATATAACACCAGATAGAAAAAAACGAGTGAAAATCGAGATGGAGGGGATGATGGAGCAGAGGGAAAGAGGATGTGCTCTTTATTTCTGGAGTTTGGAGAGGATGGAGGAGACTGGAGGAGAGCAGGGAAAGAGATTTGGAGAAGAAGAGTAGAGGGTTGTGACCTGAGACGAGGATTGGAGAGAGAGAGAGGTATGTGACTGTCTGTTCGAGAGGGCTCCGGATCTGTGAGGAGTGGGATGCATGGCTCGAGAGGCTTGTTTACCGTGTTGCCTCTCCTTGTTTGCAGGTGCAGCCCTTCTTTCTTGATTTTTCCGACGTTGCATGCGAGTTCTCAGCTCGTCGTGATGCTGGCGCATTCTTCTCTGCATCTCGTACGCTTAGAGCAGTGACGGGGCGCTCGCGGCGCGCAGAAGAGAGATCGACGTACGATGAGATTCTGCATGTTACGTCATAGATTCGATAGAAAAAAGTCCTGACTCCTGCACGAAGACGACACCGACCCCTCCTCCTCTCGACTGACTCCGACGGCAGAGAGCATGATGACGTGACGGACGAGAGATGAGAGACCCCTTTGGTATGAGTAGATGAGCACTCAACAGAGAGAGAACTCTCTCCGTAGCAGGACCCTCTCTTCCCTCGGTTTCGGGAGAGGGAAATACTTTTCCTCCCTCGAGATCTTCCCTGAGCATTTTCTCCTCCTCCTTCTAGAGAGCCCCCTCTCCGTTTGAAATCATAAAAACCCAACCGGAACTTGTTTTCTCATTTTTAAATGATAATGGTGTGGGGTGCGGGGTAGGAGGGAGAAGGTGAGAGCGGGACGAGGCAAGAATGTGAGAAAGAGAGGGATGAGGCGGGAGATGTTAATCCTGAGTCCGAGCGCGCAGAAAAGAGTAGAGATAAGCGATGAGCAGAGAGCGCATCTTAATCCGAAGAATTGCAGAGAGACTGGTCGATGTGGCATAGGACCACCGAAAGAAGACGCGTCTGAGAGAGACCTCCGGAAAGATGCGAGGAGTCTGTTAATGAGAGAGAGAAGATGAGAGGTGCTGAGTAGGGTCACGATGTGGTAGAGTACCCCCTGAGTCGTGCAGAGGGAGAGGCGAGGAGGGAGATGGGCAGATGATGAGGAGCAGAGGAGAGGCGATGAGGGCAGAGGGATGAGAGGGATGGAAAGGGTACAGGAGTCGAGCAGAGAGGTGGAGGGACGCGGAAGGAGAGAAGAGAGGGAGTGGAGCTGGTAAGTGGACTTTCGTGTGATCAGATGCTTGTGGGTGGATGTTGTTAGGGCAATTGTCTTTTGCTTGTTGGGGAGCAGTAGAGGCTGGATCGGGGAGGGCAAAGGCGAGGAGACAGAGCAGAGAGAGAGTGATTGGAGCGAGAGTGTAGGATAATCCTGATTCCTCTTGTTATGTCTGCACGATTTTTGACGACGAGTCGATTACTACGGGAGAGGTTTTGTCAGGTCAGAGCCTATTAGACACCTAGAGATGCATGATGAGATCCCTGATCGGAGGTGATGCAGCAGAGAGATTGATTGGAAAGCTATGCGATGAGAGAAAGCGAGAAAGTTAGTGACTCGCGACGTGAATGAGAGAGAGAGAGTACCAGTCATCCTAACCCGAGCTTCGTTGTATGCCTCCTAGTGCTGCCGAATATTATTTTCGTCTCCCAATTTTGCTGCGTACCGTGCGACTCATGTCGGAGTCAATCCTACTGTGTCTCTTAGTGGTCCTTTCCTTCTCCTTCTCCTTCTACCTTCTCTCCCTCTTTCCTTTTTTCCTTCCTAACAAATAAATCGCATCCTTACCTAGATTCCCCTAACACTTTTAGAGGATACTTTTTTTTTTTTCTTTTTCTCCCTTTAAAAATTTTTCTTATATATCTTCTCTTAATTACTGATACTGCTTGATACTTATCATTATCACTTATCTACCTCTTTCTCACTTTGACTATGATTATCTATTAATGTCACTGAAATCTACTGCATACCAATGAGACAAAAAAGGAATCTTATCTGAAAATAAGGGCTCTTGTGGAGCCATTTACGAGAGAGCACAATTCATACACTAAATCACAGTGGACAGTATTTATGTTACACACGTGCCATCTCCCACAGCACTGAGTTTACCTCGACTTATCCTGTGCTCTGTTTAGCCAAGTATAGGGGCTCTGCCCACTTCACTCACTTGGTTGCTATTCCCTGCCCTCTGAAACACTTAGGCATTTACTAAAAAATATCACATGTTATACAGCCTACTTAACAGTGTCTTTGAATAGAGCTGTGTTTTTAAGAAGTAAGAACAAATCCATTCCAAGAACGGGTGATGAAAAATGAATAAATAGGTTATAGGGACTTGCTAGTGTAAAACGTGAAGAATTTACCACAGATTCAGCACTCATACTTTGGAAAAAACAATTATAGTATGTTACAAATATGAAATTAGCCTTAGAAAATTATTTTATGTGTCTTGTGAGAGGTTTAACCCCTTCCTCCAAATAAAAAAATAAAATAAAATAAAATAAAATATGGCACATCATTACCAATTGCTGCATTTATGAAATCATCAATCAGCAGTTCTACATTTGGACACAACTGATGATTAAGTAAATAACTTCTTCTGAGAATGAGGGTACCTTCTGAACTGAGCAATGTGGGTAATGCCTTTTGCAATGTCTCTGATGAATACAATGTAACCTATAATTAATATTCAGCTTTCTAATACCAATAGTTTTCTGCTTTTACTGATAACTTACAGATAAATGTTATCAATAAATGTTAAAATTGAAGGTAAATCATAAGGTCTAAAAAGTATTAAATAATATCAATGATAACTTCTGTGAGCAAACTTCTATCATAAAATTTTAAAAATCTGATATCTTTATAAAATCATGCATTATGTTTCTAGGAAAAAGATCCTACCAATGAACTGTTCTGCATGGAAAGGGTAGCAAAAGGTACAGTATATTCTGCAACTGATGAAAAAAGAAAAGAAGTAAAAGGAGGAGGAGGAGGAGAAGTAGGTAGAGAAAGAGGTGGAGGGGAAGGAGGTGTGGGAGAGGAGATAAAAGAAGAAAAGGTAAGTGTACCAAGAAAAGAGGACGTAAAAGAGAGAGGATTTGAAAGAAAGAAAACTACGAAACAGAGAAGGAAGAAGGAAAGAAAAAGCAAAGATAAACCATTCTCTGACACAGGTGCAGTGCCATAAAATATAGGAAAAAAAACTGCGTGTGTAAACAGCCATAAGTGAAAATATACCAAAAAGTATGAAAATGTAATACAAAAGGTTGATACATTATATACACCCTGTCTTTGGCAAAACAACAGCTAATTATGAAATAAAATCTGAACTTCTGACTCTAAATAACTGTTCTTAATAATTAATAAGCTATTGTTTTAGTGTATGAATACCAGTTATTGCAAGTCTGCTCAGACGAATACAGATAATCAAGTGAATAGCATTACCATATATATTACCTTAAGTGGCTATACCTTTACAATCATATTCTCTTTACATTCTTTTATATAGTTATATTATATAATATTATATATATACATATTATATATATATATATATATATATATGAAGAGACCCGGAAGCGCCCAGAGCCCGCCGAGGAGGAGACCCAAGGAAGTCCCCCAAGAGGCCCGAGGAGGGAGACCAGGAAGTCCCCAAAAGAGCCCGAGGAGGAGACCAGAAGTCGCCGCCTGGAGCTCAGAAGAATCCAGGAAGTCGCCCCAAGAGCCCAGGAGGAGACCCAAGAATCGCCCAAAGAGGCCGAGAGGAGATCCAGGAAGTCGCCCTTGAGGCCCGAAAGGAGAAAGATCCAGGAGGAAGTCGCCCAAGAGCAACCGAGGAGGAGACCCAAGAAAGTCGCCCTGAGGACACCCGAGAAGGAGATCCAGGAAGTTGCCCCAAGACCCGAGAGGAGATCCAGGGAAGTCGCCCCTTGAGGCCGAGAAAGGGGATCCAGGAAGTCGGCCCAAGAGCCCCTGAGGAGGAGACCCCAAGAAGTCGCCCAAGAAGCCCGAGGAGGAGAATCCAGGAGGAGACGGATGAGGAGGAGGAAAAGGGGGAGGAGAGGGCAAGAGGGAGAGGAAGAAGGAAGGAAGAGAACCAACGGATAATCTTCAACTTCTCGAGAACAGAAAAGAGGGAGAGACAAAAGACAAAGAAAAAGGAAGAGAGAAAAAAAATAGACGGAAATAGCAAGATGAGAGACAAAATCTCTTTCTATAATCTCTCTCTCGTTCTCTCTGATCACTATTCTTCTGTCTATCCATCCATCTTTCTATCACTACTATCTCGACACTTGTTTGTCTGTCTATTCGTATTTTTTATCAGTCTGTCCACGTGTCTTCCTTTCTCCTTCTCTTTCTTTTACTCTCTGCTCTTCCTCCTCCTCCTTCTCTTCCCCATTCCTTTTTCTCCTTCATCTTCCTGTCCTCGTTCCTCCTCCTCTTCTTCTTCCCCCTTACCCGCCCCTCTTTTCCTCTCCTCCTTCCTCCCTCCTTCCTTCTTCCCTCTTCTCCTTCCTCCTCCTTTCCTCTTTCTCTTTCTCCTTTCTTCTGTCCTTTCTTCCCTCTTCTCCTCCTCCTCCTCCGATTTCTCGCCTCATCCTCTTTACCGCTCTCATCCTCACACACACAACTTCCAATACCCATCTCTTTAAAAAAAAACCCCAATTACCACCTATAAGTGGCCCTGTACAACATTTCTTATCTTTTATTTTACATTTCTTACAAAAATTTCCTTTCATTAAATACTAGAAAAAAATTGAAGAAAAAAGACAAAGCCATGGTATATAAAGCTGTGCCAATTGCAAACACTGATTTCCTGATGTTTGTTAATAAAGATACACACACATAAAAAAAAATGTGTGGAGC